AGGAATGCCCCTGAGAAGGGGCCCTGCGAGCTGCTACTTGCCGTACCCTACCCCAATCCTGAGGGGGAGTGGTGTCATTGGATGGCTCTTGAAGACCCTTGAAACCTGCTGATTTCCGCCTTTTGCTTTCTGTTATCACTACAGGTGATCTTGATCCTGACGAAGTATTACCATGCCGACATGGGGAAGGTTCTGGAAAGTTCTCTGTGGCGGTAAGTCAGCCCAGTCAATGGTGGGTCCTTCTCACACACCTGTGCATTGTCTCTTGTGTGTCTCTGATCTGGATCTGAGGACTGAGATCCAGCCACCCGGCTGTAGCGACTCCTGGTAGTTGGCGGCCTCACCACATTTCTCTGGTTAGAAAATGCACGAAGGAGAAACTGAAAGCGGATTAAGAGTTCGGCGGTGGGCACACATCGCGGCAGAGAAAAGACAACTACTCAGAAAGCTTCTTTGCTTTTGCTTTCTTTTCTTTCTGCTTTTTTCTGCTTTTTTTTTTTTTTTTAACTCCCCAGAGGAGGAGGAGGGTTTGCATTGTGAATTCAGGTCACTGCACAATCTCCCTTCGCTTGTGCTCTGAACTTCACATGCGGCTCCTGGAGTCCACCAAAGGCTCCGATTATCCTCATTGTTGAGGCGCTTTCTTTCTTCCGGGCTTAATCCAAGAGCCTGGTAAACAAATAACCCACTGATGACGGGGCTATCTCTTTATATGTGAACTGTGAATTCGGCCTAAGAACATGAGCCTGCCCCTTTGATGTTTCAAATGAGATGAGAGGGAAGGAGTTTCTGAGAGTCCATTACAGTCATTATCATCCTCAGTATTTCCATCTGCTTACCCAGGAAGGGAGAGCCGCGTCCCAGCCTCTTGGGCGAAGGTTCCGAAGCTCTTCTACACAGATTCGGTTTCTTCCATGCACCCAGCTGCACGTTCTCTGGCTGTGAACGCATTCTGTTCCCCAACACGTGTTTCTCAAGTAATAGTTAATTCATTTTCCTATTTGAAGTCTATTAAAACAATGCCTCTCCCAGCCGATCAGGACTTCTGATTTGTGGGCGGGGACTCTCAGGCCTATCTTGGGTTGATTTATTTTCTGCTTTCGGCTTGGCCTCCAGCACAGGAGTTTGGTGATCTGTTCTGTCGGTTCTTCTGGAGGGATTTCTGAGATGCATTGGGAAGTGGTTGAAATGGGACCCTGAGTCGGACGTGTGAGAAACAGTGTTGCCTCCAGCCAGCTGGCTTGGTCACCTGTGGTGCTAATGAGGTCGAGGGAGCCCCTCTCGCTCCACTGAGTTTTTCTTATCCCCTCCACAACAAAAGCGCCTCTCTGGCCCAGCTTCCCTTAGCTTGCGGGGGTGGGGGTTCACCTCCCACAGGCTCACCAGCCCCTCCTCCAGCTCCACCACCACCAGAAAATGGGTCAGTGGTGGTGGGGTGGGGGGAGGAGTCACATTCCTCCAGAGAGGACAGATGCTGTGTCCGCCCACCCCAATGGCTCCGTGTCTGTAGGGCTGCTTTCACAATGTCCTGCTACTCCAAAGTTGGAGAAGGCAATTCACTGTTTCCAAGCAAGAACAGAAGATAGTGTGCGTGTCCAAGCTCCGGTGCCATGTCAGCGTTCTTTGTGGGTTTAAGTTCCAGGGTGGGTTTTGGGGCTGAGGCTGCCTGGGTGGGCAGCCCAGTAGAGCATGTGTGACACTGCTAGGTGGCTGGCCCAAGGCCAGGTGCCCCGGCTACGAAGTGGGTGGAGGTAGTTAAGTCTCCTCTTCCTCTGAGTAAAATCCCTCGCCCACCTCATTTGCCCCAACTCATGCATGGCGGTCAAGTCCTGAGGGCTCCTGTGCTCATTAGCACTCACTAATCCATCTCACGGCACTTCCTGAGAGAGTTCCAGAAAGCCTGGTTTCCTGTACTCACTGCTGCATCTCCGTGTGGCTGGAGGAGAAGGAAATGAGGTATCTTAAATGTCTGAGTAGCGAGTGGTCCTGGCGGGTGTCATCTGGGCTTAAGTGCAGAATTTCCAGGTGTTGTGCACATTTGCTGTGGCCCTCGTAGGGCTTGGGGGTGGGGGTGGGGGGGACACACAATTGATCTTGGCTAGCCCTGTGGCATGGGGCCCGGGGCTCTTCCTTTACAGGCTCCAGACAGGATTCTTCAGAAGCACGTAGGGAAGCTGAGAGACCAAGCCACCCACCCGAGAGCTGCTCCCAAGGGTGATCTTTCCAGAACTTCAGTTTTCTCCTCTGTAAAATGGGGATAAAACACCTGTGAGGGGGAGGGTGTGAGGACCACATGAGGTAATATGTGAAATGTCCCTAGAACATTCAGAGGTCTAAATTTAGTTTTTTCTCTGAGGCAAATCAACAGATTCTAATTTTCCATCTTCCTTTCTCATCACTGTTTCTACACCCCGACGTTTCCTCGCCTTTATTAAAAATACATGCAGAAACATTAGTCATTTCAGGAGAGTTCACCCACATCCCAGCCCGTTGGTGCAATTACTTTCTTTGTTTATATGATCTTTTTTATGCTGGCATATTTATATAGATATAGACAAAAGTTTTACATATTTTTCCCCCACAAAAAGTATGTTTTCCGACTTTCCCCATTGTACCCTGGTCTGCATCTTCATTTCCTTTATGGCTGTGCATTGGCCCCTTTGGGTTAATTTTCTCTAATACTTAGCTGTGCTCACATTGACGCTGCTATAAAGAATCAGGCATGTTGTTTTCCTGTTCATTTTCTTCCCTGGGTGAGCCTGGGACTGCTCCGTGGCTGAGTCGGAGGGAGGGAGCAGATTTGCAGCTGGAGCTGAGCACTGCATTCTCTTTCCAGAGGAAGACAGGCTTGCACCTGGGCAGTGCCCTGTACCCTGACCCACTAGATCTTACAGCTTTCCTAAAACTTGCTAATTTAATGGGGTCCCAAAGGGTCCGCGTTGTTACTTTAACTTGATTCCTGGTGAGGAAGACGTGTCCCATGGTCAGCTCATAATCACGCATTCTCTTTCTTCCTTCCTTCCTTCCTTTCTTTCTCTCTTTTTTTTTTTCTTGGAGAGGTTTTTACTATGGGGCACATGCGCTCACCAGAAGCACAGAGAGAGACAGAAAGCGAGAAATCACCCCCCAGGGGGGATGGCCATGCCCCAATCCCTTCTCCTCCATTCTCCTCTCGGGGACTTGGGCTCACGTGTTCTCTTCCTATTGTTATGTACTGTGTCCTCCCTGTCCATTTGGGACCTTGCATAGAACATTTAGAAGTCCAAAGACTGCCTGGATATTTCAGTTTCCCAAAAGGTTGATATATTTCAATATTTTGGATACATCAGTGTTAATTTTGAGTTGGGAGAGAGAACCTAACCATCATTTTTTTTTTTGAGAGAGAGATTTTGCTATAGTTCATGTACGCTTGCCAGAGAGACAGAGACAGAGAGACAGAAGCAAGAAATCACGCCCCCCCCCCCATGGGGAATGGCCATGCTGCAGTCCCTTCTCCTCTATTTTCTTCTTGAGATTTTGGGCACACATGCGCATGTGCCTGGCATGAGTATTAAGCTGCTGGATCCAGGACCCGAACCATAGGCAACTACATGGAAACATAACCATTAGGTCATCTGCTGGTCCCACAATCATTATATTTTGGTACTAAGAGATACCTTTCAATAAGTCATTTAAATGCAAAAAAAAAAAAAAAGAAAAGTTCAAAACCTGAACCTCAGTGTTGCTCGGGCTCTGCCTGCCCATGGTGTTGGAGACACGTGCAGACAGGAGGGTCACGCACCCTGTGGCTGGAGAGCGTGTATTAAATGGGGTTATTAAAGACACACTTACTGAACATGCACCAGAGCCTCCCAAGAATTCTCTTGTGTAATCACAATAAATACATTTTTAATGACAGGTGTGGCATTTACATTCTGGAAATGGCTCTTGGAAATCCAAGCCGAATGCATTTTTAATTGGGCTGTATTTGATGAGTCCCGTGTCCAGCAGCCTCTGCTTCCCGGCTTCCAAGAGCCAATGCTTTGCCCATTGCCCTGTTCCCTGAGGGTGTGAGGCAGGAGGTAAGCGCAGGTTCTGGGTCCCCTTGAGTCAATACAAGAGGCTGGAGGTGAGCGGGGAGCAAGACCTGTCCCCTGGGAAAGCCCAGGCTGGCACCAGGCACTTGAAGGCACCTCCCCCTGTCCTAGGGCTAATGGGAACTGTTACCGCCCTTCCACTCAATCCAAGGCCTTCCCTACCTTGTATCCACGTGGGATCCATGTCTCGTGGCCACTGTAGTAAATAGCCACAAACTGGGGGCCTAATTCTGCAGAAATGGAGTCTCTCACAGTCTTGGAGGGGTCAAGTCTAAATCAAGATGTCGGCAGGGTGTGCCCCTTGAAGCTGTAGGCGAGGGCCCTTCCCACCGCGTCAGTTCCTGCGCCGTGGCCACTCCCTGTGGCTGCTCGCTGCCCGCCACCTCCTCTTTCCTGTGGTGTCCTCTCCGAGTAGCTCGTATTAGGACACTTATCATTGGATTAAGGCCACCTGGATGATCCGGGATGATCTCAGCCTGAGATCCCGCAGTGCATCTGCAGAGGTCCTTTTCCATCCACAGGCGAGGGTGTGGACTTTGGGAGCTGCCCTTTGGCTCACTGCGTGATCCTTCACCTAACTCTGGTGAGACATTCTGGATCGGATCTCCTAAGTGGTGCTCACGTCTGCCTCCATTTCTGTGTGTCTCAGCCACGCTCCCATCCACCTCTTCATCCTCAGCTGGATCCCAGCAGCGCTTCCCAGTTTACCGCCTGGCCATCTGCATGCTCCCTGCCCCCCCACCCCCATCATTCCTCTCTCCTTCCAAGGCCCCAGGGATATAAGACGCACACACACACACACACACACACACACACACACACACACATTCGTTCCCTACCTATTCCTCTCCCACAGCTCAATGTCTGCTCACACCCCACTGCCCAGGTAAGGGGCTTCAGTGGGCACAGGCTGAAGCAGCTGTGGCGAGTGAGAAAGCAGGTGCATACTCTCGGCGTGCCTAGAGAGCTTGTGTGGCATCTGTAGTGTCTTAGAGTTCTAATGGACTCAATGGAAAGGTAAATCGTGTCTCAGATAATAAACACAGGGCCTAGCCATGGTGGCATGGGCAGGAGGGAGCTGGGACACATAGGAGGCCCAGGCTTGGACCCCGGGCCACCCTGCACAGTCCAGGCAT